CTATCTGAAGTTCATGATGAAAGATCTAAGGTAACATAATTATTTCCTAGGTTATCTGATGAATTTGTATATGAAAGTAGTAACAAGCTTGATGATATTCATTACTACTGATGTCTATCAACAAAATTTCACAATTGATGATGTTTACATATCAATTAAACGAAAAGTGAAATAATTGTTAAAATTCTCATAATTTCCTACAGAATTTGAAACAAATAAATGATAAAAAGCAAAGCAATTCACTAATTGATGAGCCATTATAACAGTAGTAAGTGAATTAGTTTTCCTCACCACATAAATCCACAACAATCCCATAATTAGTGGACCACCCACCAAGTTGACTGCGCCTCCTTCATATTGCAAATCAAACCATAAAAACCAAACATGGTTCAATGCAAACAGCACTGTACTAAGTATCAATTTAGTAGTTGACCTATCATGAATGATGTCATCAATCCAAACTCCTCTCCAATAAATTTCCTCGATAAATCCATTCACAAGTCCAATACAAAGAGCAAGAATAAACAAACTAATAGAAAATTCAAATTCTCTACATGATGGAATGAATGCAGCAAAGAAAACAAGTAAAGTTGGAATAAAAGCACTCAAATAAATCATGAAATTTCCTTCACTGCATTTTCCCAATATTTTCATAGAAATATTATTGTATATTGATGATGAATTAAACATTAACATCATGATCATCATTAATAGAAACCAATAAACGATCATTCCGAGTGTAAAACTAGAAAGTTTGCTGGTGAGCAAGCTGATGAGGTAAAATAATAATCCCACCAATAAAAATGTAAAAATTTGATGAGAAAGATGATGAATTGATTGGTTTTTTAATGGTGTCATTGTAAATATTGCTGAGATGTGATCTTATTTTTTTTAAATTTTAATTTTGCAATAGTGTTTACAATGCAAGTTGACTATTTAAGTTTAAATTTGTGTTTTTTATTAAAAAAAATGAAAAGAAGTCTCGATGAATTTTCTGGCACACACTGCTCAGCTAAGAGTAACAAGATTCAGAAAGTATCATCAGAAAGTGTCATACAAATAGGTAATATATTCAAAACTTTTTTAATTCAAAACAAAATTCAGCCGATTTTCCTGATGATATTTGCTATGAAATATTAGAGTATTTGAATTATAAAGATTTATTGTTGGGTGCCTTTCTTGTCTGTCGACAATGGAATCAAGTTATCAAACAACGGATCGGAGTAAAAATTGTGATTCAAGATGAGCATGTTTTAGAAGAATGGTTTCAAAGTATGGAAAATCAAGTGGAACCTAGTTATCATATCAAATCTTGGCAAATTAAAAGACTTGTTCGTGGCACAAGATTAGACAAGGAGAAGATGGAAAGAATATGTAAAATTTTGAAGAAACAAGACAGGTTGGAGAGCCTAATTGATAAGAAAGGTTTATGTTGTCACCATACCAAATTGGTAAGCTCGCTAACTCAGTTGAAATCAATAGTCTTGAAATTCAATAATATTAACGAATACGAAATGGAGTCAATTGCCTCAATGAATAAGTTAATATCACTGGATATAGGCTGTGCTCGTACTAATCTAGAAGGGATTAAGATCCTCAGCTCTAAGGATAACTTTACAGAGCTCAATATTGAATTTTCTTTTTTTGATCAAGTTCCTTATATGGAATACGTTAGTAAGATGACCGACCTGCGAAAATTGGACATTTCTAATAATCCTATAAGTTTAAATCGGGCTAAATCTGCTAATTATTTAAAATCACTTGAAAAACTTACCGATTTGACTGTTACGTATCTTGATATGGATCTTGAATTTTTGAAATCTATTTCCAATTTGAAATTTCTAACAAGTCTATCTATTTATGGTAATTTGGTGGGGATTGAAGGTGTTAAAATCATATGTTCAATGTTTCAGTTGAAAAAACTAGATATAACCCTAAATGCCATTGGAGAAGAAGGTGCAAAACTAATTAGCAATTCTCTCAAACAATTAAATACCCTCCGTATTGGAGACAATCAAATTGGAGACAAAGGAGCAGAGAGTATTAGCTCAATGAAGACGTTAACAGCCCTTGATTTAGAGGAATCAAATATTGGACCTCAAGGATTGGAATTTATTTGCCAAATGGATCAATTGAAAAGCTTAATGTTAAATTTTAATACTATAGGTGGTAGTAGGTTACCAATTAATGCGCTCACAAATTTAACTGAAATCAGTCTAGTTTTAACAAATATAGGAATAGAAATAGTGAAATCCATAAGCTTGATTACCAAGTTGAGAAATGTTAATATTAGTGACAACAGATTGGGAGATGAATGTTTAGAAATTATAGGCAATTCTCTTTTCAATTTAACAGAACTTGATATTTCTGAGAATAATATGACTGAAAACGGAACCAAATATTTGAGCTCACTAAAAAATTTAACACATTTGAATGCCGAAGATAATAGACTTAATGATGAATCTATTCAACATTTATGTTCATTGAAGAAGTTGAAGTCTCTGTATATTAATAATAATCAAGTTGGAGACGAAGGCTTTGCACTAATTGCCAATTCCATGAAACAATTACGGTTAGTACACGCCCATAATAATAAGGAAACTGAAATTGGAAGAACACTTCTCAAGTCAAGGAAACATTTATTAACATCAGTTTGGCAAGATAATGATGGTGAGTGAACCATATTGGATTACAATTGGAAAGAATTGAATTTTGAAAAAGAAAAACTTACATCAAGTTCATATATGAATTTACAATTTGATGTTAAATACTAAGAATCCATGTGAATATTGGTAATTGTAATGAATAATAGACAATATTATATTATTCCATCCATTCTTGGATTTTTCAACATCTTAATCAACTTCATTCGGTGGACCAGCGGGATATTTCCTACTCAGGATTTGTTAATGGTTGTAAAATTCAATGTCCAATGTTGGTTTTCATGCAATTGTTTCGAAAGACTTAAAAGGAGAATTATTTAAGAAATGTTTCTGATTGGAAATGATTCAAGGAAAATGTATTATTTACAATCGAATAGTTAAAGAATTCAGTGGAACATTTTCAAACTGAAAACGAAGAATTGGAGCAATTTTATTATTTATCAATCATTGCAAAATAGAAAGATTAATGAGATTGAAATTTCTGACATGGTCGAACAAAGTCGAGAAATTCTGAAATGAACAAGATTCCTCGAACTATTCGAAATACCATTTCCAAACAATTTCGACGTTGGAATTATTTCCTTAATAATATTAGAAAATCCCTCATGTATAACCTATCCATGTAGTTGTGGCACTATTAACTTTCTACTATTTTCTAATAGTGAAAGAGGACAACAAAACATGTCATCATTCTCAATTCAAAACTTTAGCTTGTACTAGAAACTATTAAGATGCCCACTTGTAAATAGCAATTCAAGCAAAAAAGGTGTAACCTCAAGTCATGTAACACTGAGTGTTTATCTGCATGATCTACCAGCATTCAAGAAGGTGGATATTCCACTATCATTCATAATGTTCCTACCTACAGTAATAGGGGTTACAGTGTTCCTTCTCAACAAGGTTATGGTCAACCTCAAATGGGTGTTAGCATGAATATGCCAGGTTTTGGAATGACTCAACCACAAACTCAAGTTTCCTACACTCAAACCACAACCACTAATTACATGCCAACCCAACAATATCCAACCTACAATAATTCTCTTGCTAGACAAATTATTCAAGCTTGTGAAAATGCATCATTTGATAACGATAAGGTTAAGGCAGTTCAAACTTATTCATCTGCTCAATGTTGTCCAATTAATGGCGCTGATTTGGTTACCATTTTGGATCTCTTTGGTTTTGACAATGACAAGATTACAGTTTTATCTCAATTGAGAAATACTAATAACATTTTCCAAATGAATTGTAATGAAGCTGCTCAAGTTTTGGAATCATTTGGATTTGACAATGATAAGTTGAAGGCATTGGAATTACTTTTAATTAGTATTTATGATAGAAAGCAACATGCTGAAACAATTGTTGGTGGTTTTGGATTTGATAATGATCAATCAAAGGCAAGAACTATTTTATTGAAATAATTTATTAATATAGATATTGAATTTACAATAAAAATTTAAAAAATTATAGAAAGTTTTTCTGAATAGTCAATCGGATTATGTGATATACTTAAGAAAAGATTGGTAGATTTTCACAAAATGATGAGGATGGAAATAGTTGTGCATCTTCATCACGTGTAACATCTTATTCCAAATACTTTTATTCGAAAGGGAGAAATTGGAAGAACACTGAAGTCAGGGAAACATCAGCAGCTCGTCAAGTTAATGATGAGTGAATATTTTAATATTTGATTACAATTGGAAGGAATCGAATTTTGAAAATGAAATAGTGACCTCAATTTCACATATGAATTTGAACCAATTTACAAATTGAAGTTACCTACTAAGAATAGAAACCGATGCATGTGAATATTCACATAACACGAAATTTTCAAAGATAAAACTACAAAAGTCATGGTTTTGATTGAGGATGTTACATTCCAGCCACTCATTTCAACTTTTTGTCTTAACAAAATTGATTTCCTCATTTTCTCGGAAGTACGAAAAATCAATAAAAGGCGCGAAATTTTTTAGCTTTTTAAAATAACGTTAAAAAAAAACAAACAAATCAAAATACTCACAAACCCTCACAAAATGGTCGCTTCAAGAAACGTGTGCAATAAGCAAAATTCCGAAAATTCCGCCACTACAAGTAGCAGTGGTATGATGATCAATAAATCCCACAAGTTGAAAGCTATCAAGGGTAACACAAGTAGACCAATGCTTACACCTCTCGTTATTGAAAAGAAGTACAAGCAGAAGGCTGTACCAGTTTATCAACCTATTGTGGAATTAACAGTAGGTGCAGAAGACTTGAATGTCCTTAAGGACGAAACTACATGTTCCTTCTTCTTTGTTGAAGATAAGATTCAAACTGTTGATGATTCTTGTCATGATGATTTCATTATTGTAATGTAAATAACAAGTTGAGCTGAGTTGCCTAAACTCACACGAAATACCATCAAGCCTTTTTGCTCTTCCTTCAACACCAACTATTTCCTACCATGCATGCCGTGCGGAACGAACAATTAGTTTTTACTGAAGATATATTACATTAGCAATAATTAATTTGAACATGATTAGTTAAGTCATCAATCTATTCAACAATACAAAATAATAAACTTGAAAGCCTTTCGGAATTAAAAAAATTAAAATTAAAAAAATATTATTCCGTGATGACACAAGAGATCACCAAATTTTAAGTTATTGATCAAAGATAGAATCTATGTTAAATTTTCACCAAAGTTGCTTGAAGCCATAGAAAAATTCAAGATTCTTATCAGTGAACTGAAACAATTAACATCACTGTCCTCCTTTGAACTATATCAGTGAAATGAAACAATTAGCATCACTAAGAAAATAAGCGTATGTTTGGGTATTGTTCTTTTAAACACCGTTGATAAACAAATAGATACACTCCAAATATTCCTTTAAGCCTTTCTTGTTGAAATTATCATCAGGTATTGAAGAGAATAAACTTTAATTTCCATTAAATATATTGAAATTCATTACAAATGCTTTCTATGAACGATACTTTCACCAATTTCTTCAAATTCTGATTTCTTAATTGAGATATTATCCACATGATGTAGACACGACAATATAGAACCTCCAATCCATGAGGAATATTCTCTCTCTGGTGGACTAATCACTCTAAACTTATATTTGTAATCTGAACTCTGAGAGGAATTCAACTCTTGGACAAGTCGTTCAGAGAAATTTGGAATGAGAGTATTACCTCCTGAAAGAATCATATTATCTAGACAATCTCTTTTGAAAATGGGTTCCAGATTATTGACAGATTTGAGAATTAGTTCGTGAATGGAAGGTTGTTCTGGTTTGTTGATTAGTGAAGGACGAAAGAGAATTTCTGGACATTTGAATTGTTCAAGACCAAGTGTAATTGTTTGATCTCCAACTTGATAAACCTTCTTACAAATATCAATTCTCTGATTTTCCAATGGATAATCCATGGAAATTTCACACAATTTTTCCTTAATTTCTTTAAAGTGGTGTTCAATTCCACTTGCCTTATCAATTGTGAATCCCAAATCATCATGAATTAATTTTCCCATATATTCAGTTAAATCCCTTCCACCAAATTCCAACTTATAACAGTATTGAGATATTAACTGTCCATCACAAAATGGTGCTGATTGAGTGAGTCCATCTCCACTTTTCAACACCAAACCAGTTGTCCTTCCAATTGCTAAAAGTGATGAAAGAGATCGATCGACCAAACAAATTATTGGACTCTGCAATTTTTCAAATAACATTTCAGCAATTTTCACTCGATTCCTTTTCACAGTCGTTACAGAATTATAAACAATCATTATTGGGCTAGTCAACTCAACGAGATAATCTTTCAATTCGTTTGAAATAATAAACTGCAACATTGCCTCCAGATCATTGAAATTAGATATCTGTCCTCCTCTCTCTATCGGAAACTTTAGATCACCATCAATATCTTCAAGATTCAATGATAAAAACTTGCTCCGAATTCTTTGAATTTTTGTTGATTTTTTGGCAATAATTGAAGCGGGTAAATCATCACCTCCAATTCCACTTTTAATTGATGAGGAACCAAAATCAATAACTGCTGTGCTTGGGTGTTGAAACATTTTTTTTGTAAAATATTTTTCAAATAGTTTACAATGAATTTAGAAAGTTTAAATTGAATTTACAAATATTTACAGTTTATTTGATGGTAAATTACACAAACATTTGTTCAAATTCCTTTGAAACCTTAAATCTCATATAAATATCAGGAATTACAGTTGACATGACTTCATTCAAAACTTCATCAAATATAGACGAAATATTTTCAGAATTTGGATTCGATTCGAGTGCCTTCTTAATCTCCACTCTCTTAGCATCATTTGTATTGATGAAATTTGGATTGTCAATGTTAGAGAGATAGTCAGCAAATACTTTTTTGGCAAATTGAAATTTGACATCTAGAGAATCTTTGGATTGTTTGAATTGATGCACTGTTTCATAGAAGGTAATGTTTTCTGCGTTCAGTTCTTTAAAGGCATAGACCTTGAAATACTTTCTCTTAGTTTCGTCTTGTAGGACGTCGTGTACACTGAGTGAAAAATCCAATTTAGAATTTCGTTCAGAATCGGTTGTGGTTTTCTGAATGAAACAGATAAATGTCAATGTGGTCTTTGGTTTCATCATTTTTTCAACTTGCTTTTTAGCTTTACGAGTATTCTGAGCTTCCAGACGTTTGTACATTTCATTCGAAAGCATTTCAAAACTTGCCTTCTTTTTCTTTTTGGTCAACTTGCACATTTGTGGACTTTTTCCAGCATTTCCCAAATCATCCAATAAATTACTTGATGAAGAACTACTAGAACTATCACTTTCCACAGTTAACAAATCCGAAAAGTCAAAAATCATTGAAGAAATGACATCTGGAGCATCACCAAATAAACCATGATTAAAACTCTGAATAACAGTTGAATCTCTAATGAGGAACATCTTTGGGACCACTAGGAAACTCTCCCCTTCAAACTGTTCCAATGGCAATCCCAACACTTGCCCAAATCCTTCATCCTTCTCAATCACTGCCAATTTTGGTAAAACTTGCGGAACATCCGGATGTTTAAACTCCACTCCGAAATGCTTTGCCAACAAGTGCTCCTTATCACACAACCTTATCATTTCCTTCAAGATTGGATTCGAATTATGATGCTCCTCCAAAATCTCCTTCACTTCTTCATCACTCTCCACATGAATCACCACCGGAATGATATTCAATTGTAAAAGTGATTTGTAAATTTTTGCAATTTGATAAAGTCGTCGATTACAAAAGGCACATCCACCAAATCGTAAGAATCTGCGGAAGATTAGTAAGCAATTGTGGTGTTGGGATAGTTGGGCAAGTGTTTTTCCATTGGAAGTTTTGAATTGTGTGAAAATTTGTTTCTCCACGAAAATGTCCGCTTTCGAATGGGAGTTTAGGTAGTTATCTGTTTTTGCAGAATCTGAATGGGTTGAAATCATGGGATCCATTATTGTTAGAATGATGATGTTTAGGTTTTTTTTTGATAAGTATTTTTGGAACGGCTGCCAAAGTCATACTTGAAGACAGCTAGTGGTGAATATTCTTAGATGAGGACCATTTGTTCGCATGCAACAGATTGGAGAATCCCTTATTTCCTATTGCTTCATGTGCCTGTGTCCGTTCATTCGTTTTTATGGAGATAAGTTGCCTGCCAACTGTCAAACTAAAAATTCTAGAATTGTCCTTGGCATTTATTTGATATTATTGATTGAATGTTCTGTAGTGATGATTATATTTTGTAAATAACAACACGTATTTTGATCAAAGTAAAAAAAAATGTCAAAATTGGCTGGAGACGAAATTTATCAAATTTTAACATTTTTCATATCGGAAGGAATATCAATTGTTAACATCTATTCGTTGGTTAGCAAACAATGGAGGGAAGAATGCATGAAAATTCCTATCAAAGTGAAAGTTTATTCTCATTCGAATATTTCCAAAAATGTAGAAAAGTTTCGAATAACAGATTTGACTTGGTCCAGCCAACGGGATCAATTCTTTCACACCGAAACACTTTCTCAATTAAATTTGCCCTACCTGACCACTCTGAATGCCTCATATGAGTTTAGAGTCGATGAAAAATCATTGAAATTGTCTCTCCTCATGCAAGGCAATTTTATTCGAAATTTGAAAGAATTAAAACTTGATTCGTGGCCGTTGGGATTGAATGGAGCCAGAATTTTATGTAAGAGCAGTGTAGATTTAGTCAATCTGAAAGTTTTGGACCTTTCGTTTACAAATTTGGGAGATGAGGCAGCGTGTGAAATTTTAAATTCGAATTTCAAGTTACAGACCTTGATTTTGAAATGTTGTAATATCGCAAGAATTACATGAATTGCGAGATGGAAAGTTTGGAAAGTTTGAATTTGCTTGGGAACAAATTACTTGAGGTGCAAGTTGGAGAAAATTTGCCAAATATTTCACATTTAAACATTTCGAATAATTTTAATTTGAGTGATACTTCCTTTTTGAAATCCTTTCCAAAATTGACAAATTTGGAAGCGAATAGAAATTTAGGATTTGAGAATTTGAATGAAACTCTAAATTCCATGACCTGTTTGAAATCTCTCAGTATAACTCAGTGTTTAAAATGGAGAGGTTCACTTGGTCAACCAATTTTAAAGAATCTTGAATTTTTGGATATTACAGATTGTGGATTTTCAATCAAGGTTATGTTTAATAATGGAATTGATACCTTTTCAAATATTACTCGCTTGAATATGGATAATTATTTGTGTATCACTGATTGTGAATTTATTGGAAATGGACTAGCTCTGAGAAATTTGAAACATTTATCAATTAATAGATGCAAATCGTGGTGGGATTTTGAAAAGATGCTACTTGGTCCTAATATGTCAAATTTGGAAACTCTCTCACTCGAATCATGCCATATTGGAATTCAAGGATGTAAATTAATTGCTCAAAGTTCAACTCTGACTCGATTGACCAAACTCAATCTTTCCAATAATTTAATTAAGGATGAAGGATGTGCAATTCTATGCCAATCTTCAAATCTTCAACATTTAATTTCCTTGGATATTAGTTGGAATGAATTGACCACTTGTTCACATTTGGCAAATAATCAATATTTTGTAAATTTAATTGAATTGAAATTTGAAAATCGAGTGAGTGGAGATAATGATCCAATGAATGATAAACATCTTCTTGAAACATCACCCCATCTTTCTAAATTGAAAAATTACAAACAATAAAAAAATGGGCTATCAAACTTAAAAACCAAACAACATTAAGGATAGCACCATACTAAATAGATTTAATAGGATATTGGTATTCGTAACCATGTAAACAAATGTATATTTCTCTATTGACAATTACATAAATTGCTCAAAATCAGAATAGTGAACTACAGTATCTGAAACACCTGCAGACAATGCAGGACTAATTGTCAAAATAACAAACAACTGGATCAATTCAGAACTTTTCAATTTTCCCATTTCTAGCTTTCTAACAATTTCCTTAAACTTTTTAATATCTAGCTTGAAACGCTTTCCACGACCCTTTTCCATTTCGAATAAAAATTCATCAGAAGATTGGTCAGAATCTCTATAATTAATAAAAATTTTACCAGAATGATCATCCAGTCTAATAACTCCCTCAAATTTAACACTATATTCATTTCCTTTAAAATTGTAAGCAATTATTGTGAATATGGTTTTAAATAAATCGCCCACTGTTTGAGATTCGAGTTTGACAATATGTACAAAAGAATTGTACTTTTCAAAAATCTCTGAAAATCCTTCCCACTCTGAAAAACCACATTCAGATTCTTCCCAATAATAAACCGAATCCACCAAATCAAAGTTTAGAGCTTTTGTTCTCTGGAATTGAATATAAATCTTAAAGTAATTTTCATCATTGTTGTCGCCATTTTCAATTCCCAAACATGATAAATACTCAGCTTTCCATGCTCCATTCAATTCTTCAAGAATAATTTGTTTCCATCTCTTGCAAATAATCAACATTTCACAAATATCATCCACTTCAAGAAATTGTAAAACATTCCACATGATATCCGAAAGATCCATCAATTTCTTCCATTCTGATTCGCAAGATGCATCTTCATAGAGTGGTACAATCTTTTTCGATGGTTTTTCAATTATTTCCCGATCGTGGTCATGACGATTCTTTCTCTTCTTTTTAGATTTTTCTTGAATTTGTTCTAATTGTTCAATTTGTTGATGAATTTTCCTTGTTTTCCAATCAATAGCAGTGTTTAGTTTGTATTTAATTCCCTTGATGAGAAAGAAATGTTCGGATTGCTCTTGATCCATTGAAGGAGTTGCATCTTCATGTTTCTCCATTTTTTTTTGTGTGAAATGTAAAAGATTTTTCACACTTTGCATTTATGATGATTGAAAGAAGGTTACAAATTTCAAAAGTCTGGACAACTCAAGATTCTTCAAATAATTGATTCTTTGTTTTTTTTAATACAAATATGGAATCATACACTTGTCAACAAGGGATGGATTGTAAAGCCAATCGACATGATAAACATTTGGTACAACAATTCTTACCAATCTATTTTCCTCATTGAGGGTTTTCAATCCAAAGACATCATTTTGATAGATTCGTTGTTGTTCCATTGGAATCATATCCAAACCTCCGGTTGAGTTGACTTGATAAAATTCAAATAATGCAGATTGATAAGGAACGATAATGTCATCTTGTGGACTACCTGTCAAAACCATCTTGTCAATTCTCAACATGTTTTCTCTATAATTCAATGTTCTTGCATAATCAACATCTGTGTCATTATTTACAATAGCAAGAAATTGGATTGGCAAATGACATTGAAGATTGACCTTTGGCAGTATAGAAAATTTTGTAAACATCTTCAAGGGCTGTGTTAAACAAGAATGGGAACATTTGTTTCAAAAAACCTTCAAATTGAAATCCGACAGGAACTCCATATTCACCATTTTGAACTATTTTCATTAACATTTCCACACAAAAATTCAAAAACTAACCTCCACTCAATGAAATAAACACCTTCACATTATGATCAGGAGTTGTTTGAAGATAGGAACGACAAATCAATCCACCCTGTGAATGACAAATCAAATGATGATCAGTAATTCCAAAATTCTTCTTTACAATATTAATTTGTTTTCTGAAATCTTCCAATTGTGCAGATACTGGTGTCAGAACTGATGAAACCATTCCCTCCGAAGGAATAGAATAAACAATCGTACCAGGAGGAACACGTTCTTTAATCATGTCCCTTAAAGCCTTCAATGTATTATTTCCACATAAAATTCCGTGCATTAACAAGATTGGAAGAAATGGTTTGTTTCCAGCTCCTCCCTTCTTAATTGTTGTAATATATTTGTTATTTGTATTAGTATTACTACTACTATCAGTATTAGTTGCTCCAATAATAATTGGTTTAATAGATAAACCTTCCGAATAATTTAAAAGTGCCAGAAAGGATAACACCAACACTAACTGTGAGAATGCGTAATGATGATGGTGATGTGAATTTCACTGTTTCTCGTGAGCGCATTTTTTTCTGGTGTTGGATATCAAGCTGTTGTAAACCGGAGTTCAGTGTCCGGAAATAAGGATTTAGTGTTGGTGGTTGATGTTTATTAAGTGGTTTTTAAATTTAAAAATGATTTAGTCATCGAGAAGGGATGAGTTTTCGTCCTTTTCTTGAATGAGATTGGCCAAATAGGCCTGACTCTTTTCTCTGTGGAGTTTTTCATTGGCCATTCTCTTGTATTTTCCTCTAAAGATGGAGGTGAGAATAAAACTGAGACAGAGGAGGGATAAGTCAATCCAGAGAATGATTTGAATGGATCCATTGTTGGATACCTTTGCATTTGGTGTAGTTTGCAAATGTACTTGTTGAATAATATCCAAAATTACTAAAATAATACCTGCAGTGACTGTACCAGCTCCATAAATAATTGAAGTAGAAGTACTGGCTGGAACTGGATAAGTAACTTCACAACCCATTTCCAAACAAAGTGGAACTGTTGGTACTGAAAACATACCCAATATAGCAAGGCAAAGGCAAGCCATGTAGAATAATAAAGTAGTCTTCTTCCATAACATGACAACTGCAAATCCAGCAAAACCTAAAGTTGCCAAAAATCCACATGATGCAGCCAATAATTTGTACTTTTTGGTTCTATCAGCAACGACACCAACCACGGTAGCTCCAATAATACCAAAGAAAATTACAGTGATGCCAAAAATGGAACCATCATATGGTGTGTAACCCTTTGGAACAATAATTTGGTCAATCAGTGCAACAAATGATTGCAAGACTGAATAACCAACAGAGTAAGCAGCTGCTAGAATGAGGAAATTACAATTTGTGAGTACCTGTTTAAGATCTTGGAAGAATGAATGTTGAACTACTGGAATGATAGCTTCAGATGTTTCTCCTTCAATTGGATTTTCATTGATGGAAGTTGGTTCTCTGAGAGCTTCTTCAGGAGCTTGAAAATATGGTGGTGTTGGTGGTTTATCCTTGAAGAATGCAACACTGCATGTCATTAAAATTGTTGCCAAGGCAGCTTGACCTCCCAACATGATAAGCATACCATACTCTGAGCCAGTCCAATATTCACCAGATTGTGAATCTTCTGTCAATCCAAGTAAAAATGGTCCAAATCCAAAAGCTGCACCACTTCCTAAAATACCCATAAGAGTACCAATGGTGGTAGCAATTGTTCTTTCCTTTTCTCCAAACCAATTACTATTATTTTCAAAAATTTTCATTATGTGAAATATTTCGGAATGTGTGAAATTTCAATATTTCAAAATAATATTCAAAATTGAAACAAACCTTGCAAGTAATGTTGGAGCATTGGAAATTAAAGGCTGTGCAATAGCACACAGTGCTTGACCCAGGAAGGCAACCCAAAAGAACAATTCTTCTCCTTTCTATATATTAAACTTGTCACCAATTTCAAACCGAATATTAAAACAACGTACCTTATAACCTAAACAACGAACCCAACCTCCCACAAAGTTGAGTATCGAAGCAATTAAAATTGAAGTTCTCAAACCATGTTTCTTCATCACATATGAACTAATTGAAGTCATTGGCACATAGAAAATTAAATAAATTAAAGTCATCATGTTAATCTTCCAGGTAGCATCTGGCATATTCCAATATAAAAGAGCAATTGTACTATATTTCCGATTAAAATTGTTAATTGATATGTTCATCAATGATGTGAAGAAATATTTACCTGATGGAAGAAAATGTTGTCTGAAAGAGTGAACACAAAAAGTTAGAGAAGGAGAAGAGTAACAACACTAGCCAACGTTTCTTATAGAGTGTTGGTTCGGGCAGTGCCAATTCATTCTTTGTTTGTACTTGCTTCTTATTTCTGAAAAAGAAGGATCTCAACTTGCCACTGAATGTTTGTAATTCCTCACCAGATGGAACCACTGTTGGTTGATGATCCTCCACTCCACAACAGGAACCCTTCATCTTTTTGTCCACACCTCCATTCTTCTTCTTTTCTGATTGCAACATGATTTTGTTTCTTCTTGTTCGGGTGAAGTTGTTGTAGTTGCTGTCATTGTTTATATAATATATCAACAGACACAAAAGTATTCTAATAAATGTTCTCTCCAATTGAGAACCAATCTCTCGGTGTGATCAAAATTTCAAAATCAAACACAAAAAGCCTTCTTCGCGTTTGCAATCTAAACCTTTAACTTGATTTTTTTCAAGTTAAAAAGACCGTTAGGGAAAATGCAGGGAAAAATTATTCTCTCGAGCAAGCGAAAAATATTCAGGCTTTGAAAAAAGGAGGCACCACCGTAGTAAGGAGTCTTTTTTTCGATATTTATTATCATTGAAAGCTTATCAGAGAGTGGTGAGGATGGAGAAGTGATTCATTGAAGGTCATGCTGTTTTATGAAATGTTTCATTGTTTGTTGTAGATCATGATGATTGAGGTTTGATGAGGAGGAGTTATCGGATCAGTTCTCTTCGGAGTGAGGGTAAAGGAAAATTGCAGATAATCAAATTATTGTAATTAATATTCATGAGAATTTTAATTTATTATTCAATGTTTTGTATTTTCATTTGAAAATAATATTGTAATATTTAAAATTATTAATATTTAACAATTATAATATTAAATTAATCTAAATATTGAATTTTAAAAAAAATAATCATCACCAACTTGTTTCCATCACCATGCGAGTGACCGTTCCTGTGGTCCATCAAGAATCAGAAATCCCTCCCGAATTCAAACATGAAGACAATGATGAATATTGGTGTTTCCTAACAAACTTTGAATTTAGGGATTCAAGAACAACTTCATTGAAGAGTCCCGAATTTATTACTGAGAAGGGAGTTTCTCTCATGTTGACTGGTTATTTACTAACACCCGAAGAATATAAATCATCTCCTGATGAGAAGGGTGAATATTTTGTCAAGATTGTTAATTTAAGACAATGGGCTTTTGACCATGAGGATGAAACGAGAGGAATTTGGGTCGAATCTAAGAGACATTGGTTTAAATTGATAAAGCCAACAAGGGAATTTAAAGTAATTTATGAATCGTTTGAGAAGAAGAGTAATATTTGGTTGGATTTACGACCTGTATTGACGAGATGGATTAAAAAGTTTGATAAATGTTCGGATGAAGATGTGAAAGCAGTGATAAATGATTTAACAATGGAATATGTGATGAAATCCATGAAAGTGAAAGGACATAGTGAGGAGGAGCTTATTGAAAATGCATTCTTTATTCATGATAAGGCAGTTCAAGATTTTGATACCTTTTCATTTGAGGACTCGTCAGAAAATCAACTTCTTAGAACACCTTTTATGAAGGATTTGTTGGAATTGTCTTCTGAAAAGTCTAAAATTCCCATTATTGCTAAATCTCACTCAGTTGATAAAAAGGGGAAAGAAAAACAGGTTGTGACTGAAGAGGATTTTTCCTCTGATGATGAGGATATGGATGTAAAGATTGTTATAGACGATTGTTCCTCTTCAGAGGATGATGATGATGAGGAGTACTTTGTCACAGTTAAAGCTGGCCTTGAGGATGAACATAGTAAGGATGAACATGATGATGATGATGACGACTATGAGGAAACGTTAAAGAAAAAGAGAACGAGTTCACAAGCAGCTAAAAGAAATACACCAGAAAAGAAGAGGCCATATGCTCGTAGAACCTCTAAAAAGAGAACACCAACAAAGAATGTTGACAACTCTGAGAATCAAAAAGAGATTGAAAAAGTCACACCTAAAAAGAGAAAAGAATCGACAATTAGTAGAGAAACTAATGATGACGATGAGGATTTCAATGAAAGTGAGGAAGAATACAGTTCTGAAAATGGAAAAACCAAACAAAAACGAAGGAAATTCGAAAAACCAAGAAAGGCTACTGTTTGTTATTTCCGTGAATATACTTCACAACCTGGTGTTCCAACTATGGAGGAGCTATTGAATCAAGAATTCACACCTCGTCTTATTACACAACTCAGTACTAAATATGAACCAGGTCTTGCGATTCCAGGTTGCTTCAATTGTCACAGAAAGAGAATTATGTGTCTTAAGGAAAGACCAATTTGTTCTCATTGTCTTGAGGATGGGCTCTATTGTGAATACCCATCAGCGTTGAAAGTTTGTCGTAAGTATTATTTAAATTCTTCTTGTTGTTCTCACTCTAATTAGCATGCATACCGTGTTCTTTGAAATCGCAAAAGGTTTGCAATAGAGAACTTCCTTGCAATCATTGTGAGAATGGTGAATGTTATTACTTTACATCAGATAATGGATTGCTGATTGGAGAAATGAAAATTGCAGCTCTAAAAGAATTATATGCTAAGATTGATGAAGAAAAAGCTGCAAAGGAACAATCCAGTAGTGATATTCTTGATAATTTGATAAAGGAAACAGCTCAAACAGCTGAACCTGAAGAGGTTGAGATAGTTGAGGAACATAATGAAGAACTAGAAAGAAATAGAGAACGAGCAGCTGCTCTTAGAGAAGAAATCAAGAAATTGAAAAAGATTGCCCAACAAGAGACAGCTTTAAATGAAAGGAAAAAGAAAGAATTGAAAGAGATATTTAATTCTTTGAGCTCAAAGTAGAGGCCAATTTCTCTCGCATTGATTTGAGATAATTAAGGCATTGTAAAGCAGTCCATCTCTTTTGAGGTTCTACAAGCATATTCATGAGTAGCTCCACAAATGATTCGGCAACATTAGCATCAACCTTTCCGTAAAAAATCCTCACTTCCTTTGAAATTTCATCGATATAGTTCTGATATCCTAGCTGAACTTTGAGAGCATGAGGGAATCGAATATTGAGGGTAATCATTTCATAAAATACAACACCTAATGACCAAATATCAACTTCATATGAATATCCAACATCGTAATTATTCTCAATTTCTGGGGCTGTATAATTTGTCGAACCGCAAATGGTGTGAGCTTTTTCACCCTCATGAATACTTCTCGAAAAACCAAAATCTCCAATCCTTTTTACGTTTGTTAGGCATGATTGATTCGAAACTAATCAAACTTACTTGATTCGAAAATTCTCATCAAAGAATAAATTTCTCAATTTCATATCTCTGTGAACGACATGATTTAAATGCAAACAGTGCAACCCTTTACATGTTTCGTAAAACTTTTCTACCAACATGGCTGGAGAAATATACTTTCTTGGTTGCGCCTTGAATCTGTTTTCCACTGTTTGGTATAAATCTCCTTTAGGATAGAGAGGCATTACTAAACAAATCTGGAACTGTTGCTTGGAAGAGTCTGCTGCATCATTATGATCCAGTTTACACATGAAAATATCCAAATATTCCACTAAATTTTCGTGTTTGATGAGTTTGGTGGTTGTTGCTTCTCTATATGCTTGGTTGGATTTATCTAAACCTGTACTCTCGATGATTTTCATAGCTTTAGTAGTTCCGTCCTGTAAATCTTTAACCTAGTAATTGAAATAATTGTAAGATCTAGAACTGTGGCACAAAATAATACATACTTTCAAGACAGTACCAAAGCTTCCTTTACCTATTCTACCACCCACTTGATATCTGGAATTGTAAACTCCTCCTACTGGTTTTTCAGCTATTGGTATTTCTTCCAAAGTTTGTGCATTAAAATTGAATGCTGTCAGCACAAGTTTCAGATTAGAAACTCCTAATGTATGAGCTAATTCAATTGTTTTTTCAAGGGTAGATTGTGTTGAAAAGTCCAACGACTCGATTTTTATGGTAAATTGGCTCAATATTTCTAAGAAAATATTAAATATTTAAATTTCACACAAATACCTACCACTATGTTCAATTGAATCATCACTTGTTCGTAAATTGACAGTTATTGATTCTTGGGCTGTCACTGAAATGAATAATTCTTCATTCCAAATTATATTATCATATTCTACACTCGTTTCCGATAATGAACTATAGACCTTTCTATTAGAATCCAACCCAGATGCCACCTCCACAAATACAAATTTTTTACACAATCCACTTGCGACTTTCTCTCCATTCATTAACATTACTTTGATTATTGATTCTCCTCCTTCAACAGCCTTCTCCACAGTTTCGTATTTCTTGGAGAGACTTACTTTGGTTTTAATTTGTTCAATTGGCATTGTTATTCTCGATTCAATTCCACTACTTGTTGATAATTTAGGACTAGTTGATAATAACTTATTCGGAAATGGTGAAGTGGCTGTCAATGGTGATTTTGGAGATGGAGAACTCACTGTAATGAGCACTTCATTTGGTTGTGCTACACTTTCATGTTGTTGTTGTTCCAAGCATTCGTTGTTTAAATCACCACCCGATGAATTTCTTCCCATTCTCATCAATAGAGCACTCGATGAAGAGGGTACATCTCCCTCATTACTATTTTGCAAACTCGTACTAGTATTAGCAGCAGCAGCAGCAGTACCACTACTATTGTGTACAATGATTTGATTATCGGAACCAACTAATTTAATTTTAAATTCATCATCACCATTGGAGGATGAAGGTGCCTTCCATGATCGACGTTTCTTATCATTACTACTGGTTGTTGCTGTTGTCGTGTTGGGATTTGATGATGGTGATGGCATGGGCGAACCACCAAACGAAAACGAAGATGAAAACATTTTGTGATTTTTTTAAAATACAAAAAAAAAATAAGAGCGCTTGATGATTTGGCGTTTCTCAGAGTTTCAGGATGTTACACAACATGAAGATTTTAACAATGTTGTTGATAATTTGTTAGTTTGTTACTTGTTCTAGAACAATGTTGGTGTGAATAAATGATCATGGTGTGATGAATTTATTGACCTAACCAAGTGGCTAACCAATCCAAAACGGTATCATACCATAACATGCTGTTTTGAGGCTTCAAAACCCAATGGTTTTCTTCAGGGAAGACAATCATCTTGCTTGGAACACCTTGTCTTTGCAAAGCAGTGAAAACAGTCAAACCTTGAGCAATTGGGAGACTTTTGATAGGTCAGTAAAAAAATAAAGATTTTGAAATACTTACCGGAAGTCCTTACCACCATGAATAACCAAAGTTGGAGTCTTCCACTTGGTAACATGGTTGATTGGATTGAACTTTTGATAGTGTTCACTATTTGTGAATGGAGTGCCTTGGTATTCAGCTTCTGGGAACCAGAGCTCATCAGTTGAATAATAAGAACTAACCAATTCACTCAAGCCATCATGAGTGACAAAACATTTGAATCTGTTGTTTTCATTGTGACCAAGGAGCCAATTGACAGAAAAACCTCCAAAACTGGCACCAAGAGCACACATTGAATTACCATCCATAAAGCTATTAGTACTAATAAGGAAATCAGTACCCTCTATTTTGTACAAGTAATTAAAGTAGAAATTACAAGTTCAGTAAAAATAATTGAAAAAAATAACATACTTGTAATATCTTCATATGGATAGCTTCCCCAGTTACCCAAAATAGATTCCTTGAACTTCAAGCCAAAACCATCACTGCCGTGGAAGTTAATCATAATAACAGCATAACCTTGACTGGCAAAGAGTTGTGGATTCCATCTGTAGGACCAAGAATCAGTGAAAGAACTTTCAGGTCCACCATGAATCAAGTTGGCGACCTTATACTTCTTGCCTGAATTGAAATTAGTTGGTTTGAAAACCCAAGCTTGAACACGTTCACCCAAAGCACCAATAAAGTATTGCTTTTCTGGTTTGGCCAAATTGAAAACAGCCAAGTGAGGATTGTGATCAGTCAAATAAGCCATTCCAAAGTGATTGCTTCCACTTCTCTTAAGGAGGCAGAGTTCAGATGGCTTGATATAACTATCAAATGAGAAAATAGCACTAACACCAGGAGAAACAACAACAACTGAACCTGAATGACCTTCATTGGTGATTGGAGTAACAGTACCATTGAAACCAGTAGAAATATCGAGAAGGGACAAAACATTGGCACCATCATTACTGTATCCAATAATCAAATGACTGGCATCGAACCAAACAATGTCACCAATGGATCTATCAAGACTTTGAGATTGAATTGATTGATTAGTTCTATCAGTCAAAATATTGTACATGTTGACGTGAAGATTATCACTTTCATGGCCTGGCTTGGTCATTGCCAAATAGGCCAAAACTTCGTCTTGGAATGGAGAGAAGGTTGGATTTTGAGTTCTAGCTTCGGTGAAACCAGTAATCTTCTTCAATTCAGAGGTGGAAATAGGTCCAGATTGAGTATTGTAACCATAGACATCAGCAACATAAATCTTCCAACCAGTGGTCCAAGCAACTCTATGACTATTAATTTCCAAATTAATAGCAACATATCTACCAGTCTTGGAGATGTCATATTGTTCTTCACCTCCAAATGGTGGAATTGGAGAGTCAGAATCCATACCAAACATGGTATCCCAAGGTTGATCAATCAAGCTCAATGAAGAACCAACTTTAACCTTTTGTAAAAGGACATGTGAAACCTTTCCTTCAGTGATATAATAATCCCAGTGTCTAACAAACAATTTAGTATAGACATAACCAGTGTTAGAACCCTTATTTTCCCATTCATCATTCAATTGCTTAGAGCATGATAACAATTCATTTCTATTCTTACAACTAGTGTAAACCTTAGCACTGAATGCAATATAAAAGACACCATTATTAACAGACTTGCTAATCTTGTATGATTCAATTGGAACATCATAATCAGTCAATCTGGCAATTTGGCTTTCATCTCCATTAACTGGAACAGAGTAAAGTTGTGGACTGTTAGCACTTCCTCTACTAGTACTCAAAAACAAGATGAATTGACCATCTGGAGTAAACTTTGGAGAGAAATCATTACTTCCTTCCTTGAAACGAATAATCTTTCCACTTTGAATTTCCAACAATTCAAGAACAGATGTTGATTTTCCAGTCTTTGAGCTCTATTGATCAGTATGATCATTAATAATTAAATTCCGATCAATTAATCCAATATTATTATTATCAAACAATAAATTATCATCTCTCCAAATTACTACTTTAATAAACCTACCCATTGCTTTACAGAATAAACAGCATAACGTCCATCCACTGAAACAGAAGCACCAGAAACCTTTTGCAATTCCTGAACATCTCTAATAGTAAGAACTGGAGCATCGGTTGATGATGCAGAGTACTTGGTTGAATTTACGGGAATGTTACCACCCAACACAAGCACAGCCGATAAAAGTACAACCAAGAGGGCGAATAAAACCTTCATAGTTGTTGAGTGTTGTTTAATTTTTTTTTAAGAGTAAGAGAGAATGGACTTGTTACAGTTCAGTGTGAGGGATCAATTTAGTTGTTTGGCTTTCAATGGGATGAGGTTTAAGTTTAACATGTTGTAACTGGTGGTCGTGTGGAAATATTTAGTTGGATATTATGAGGAAGTTGGCATAAATATCTGTTAAAAATCTTTATTACTGACAACTTAGTTTTTGATTGAGCAAAACAAGAAAAACCAAAATAAAAAGGAAGGGTGGTACGTGGATCGAACACGTGACCATCGGATGTCTGCTGCAAATAGCTTTGCAATCCGGAGCTAACCGCCCTGACATTAACTTGTTAAAAATTAACCTCATTTTCCAATAATTCAATCTAACAATAATTGGTATGTTCAATACTGTTTGTAATTTTGCCGACATTAGATATTTTTCACTTGATCTTCTATTGCCTTATTCACTTGTTAACAATCACAAATCCTTCCATCCAGATTTCAAATTAAAAAAAAATCAACACACCAAAATGTCCAAACTCGATCTCGACTCCAAGGCCAAACAAGCCTTCGATGATGTGAGCAATTCCAAACTCACCTATGCCTTGTTGAAACACGAAGGTACCTCCAACAAGGTTATTGTTGCCTCCACCGGTGATGATATTTTGGATTTAATTGACGACTTGAATGATGGTACAATCATGTATGCCTTGATTCGTTTCGTCATTAACGATGCTACCAAATTTGTCTATGTGGTAGGTTTTTAATTTACATCATCATGTTTATATATCACATTGCGATTAATAATTGTTCTTATTTAAATTTAATTTTTGTGATGATCACATCGCACTCAACTGTGATGATTTTAATGAAAATATTAAAAATTTAATGATGATAATGATTGTGTGTGGAATTTAAATTTGACAACAAACACAGGGTTGGTGTCCTGAAGGTATTGCTAATCAAATCTTCAAAGGAAAGTTCCAAAACTGGAACAAGGATATGGAATTCTATTTGTATGTTGTGTTTTCGAATAGTTGCAATTATTAACAGTTTTTACTTTCAACTTGTCAACTTATATGACATATAATTACACATCATCAAAATGTCCAATGTGGAAAATTAATCAAATTCAACAACAAAATTTAAATTTCACAGGAAGGGAAGATACCACTTGTCAGTTTATGCTCGTAACGAAGAAGATATTGATCAAGCTTCTTGGATTAAGAAACTCAAAGTTGGTGCTGGTTCTTCCTACACACAAAGTTCAAATGCCAAGGATTTGACAATTTCACAAGCCAAGCAAAATATTGCATCATCAAAGACCGATGTTAAAAAGACTGAAGTTGCGATTGATGACAGTGAAAGAAACAAATTCTGGGAAAAACAACAAGAAGAACTCAAGAAACAAGAAGAAAAGAAGAAGCTCCCACCACCAAGATCTGACTATAAAAAGACAGATGAAAGAAATCAATTCTGGCAAGGTCAAAGTACCTCCACAACTAGTGGATCCACTGTTGTGAAGAGTAGTGATCGTATTAGTGAAATTCAACAAATCAAGAATAATAGTAATCAATTTTGGCAAAAGCAACAAGAACAACCAGTTCCAGAATCTGACAACAAACCAAAGGAAGTTGTTCGTGGAAACAAGGATTTGTTCAAAAAGTTCGAAAGCATGAGTGTTAAAACTGAAGAATCAAAACCTGTTGCCAGACAACCAATTTCAACTGGTGCTGCCAAGAAGCCAGTTTTCCAACCAAAGCACGAAGAACCAGTTTATGAGGAACCACAACATCATTATGAAGAACCAGTTCAAGAAGAATCTCACTATGAACACTATGAAGAACCACAACAAGAAGAATCTCACTATGAGGAGCCACCACAACAAACTTATCATCAACCAAGAGTTCCACCTCCATTCCATCAACCACGTTATGATTCCGAAGAAGAAGAAGAGCCAGAACAAGAACCAGAACCTGTTCAAGAACCAGTTAACAATAAGCCATCTAAACCAAAAGGGTATGTTTTATTCAATAATTGATTACTGACATTTTAATAGATATTTGGAAAGACAAGTTGAACAAGGAAATATTTCTCCATCTCAAGCTGAAGAAATTATTGCAAAGCCAACCAAACTTCCACCTCCTCCAGTTCCAACCAAACCAAAGTATCCTGAATTGGTTGCTGTTTTTGATTTTGAGTAAGTATTTTAAATATTTTGAAATTTGATTTTTTAACACATTACAACAGAGGTCAAGATGGTGAAGAACTTTCATTCGCTGAAGGTGATACCCTCTATCTCGTTCAAGATGAAGGTGAATGGTGGTTAGCTGAAGATACCAATGGTCAACAAGGTTACATTCCTTCAAACTATGTTGAATATAAAGAATAGTAATTGTAATAATAAAAAACTCTTGTAAATTATTTATTTTTAACTGCCAAATCATATCTATTTCTGTAATAAACCTTAACATCACCTCTTATGATGATGTGATATTCATTAATCTCATTCTCATTTCCAAAAATTGTAACTCTATCATCAACTTCCTCAGTTAAACTCTTTGTACAAAGATCAATACCTTCCCATGAATCATACAAAACAAGTGCCTTGTAATTGGATGCATCTTCTTCCTCATCGCTTTCCATTAAAAATCTACCAATCTCATCATCACTCAAATCGTCCAAGAGAGGAAGATTGACCTTCTTTGATTTCTTCTTTTCTGAAACAGGTGAAGCTCTCTTTGGTTTCTCACTCTCTGGAACCAGGTAAACGCTTCCCAATCCCTTACACTCAACAAATTCAATGCACTCTGTTGGTTTCAAAACTAGAGAACATGTCTTTGAAAGCACCTTCTTTAAACTGTAGAAAAATATGGAATTATGATCAACCTTTTCCTTCTTACTCACATGTACATCATTGTAAAAGTTGTCAGTTTTAGTTCTTTCAGAGGAGAATTTCTCTCTCATGTTTTGATTTACAACTGGAGAAGGCAAAACATCTCTCCTTACCTCTTCTGTCGAAATATCAATGACAAAATCAATATTTGCTCTACTCGATCTTGTACTCATTGAGAGAGGTTCCAATCTTGGTGTACCTTCTGTGGTATCTAATGAAGGTGCTTCATCAAACTTTAGAGCTTCTGTGATATTGAGTGAACTTCTACTCTTTGAGATTTTCAGTTTTGGCAGTTCAACACTTTGCTCTGTTGTATGAACATGTAAAGGTGATATCCATGGATTGGCATCTTCTCCAGTGGGTGAAAGACTCATTGGTGTGTTTCTGAATGAGGAATATTGACGATGTTGAGGAATGAATAAATTTGAGGGAATCTGAACCGAAACATCAGCTGAGGATCTAGTTTTGAGTGGTTGTGGAATGGATGCAAGTGAAGTATGAGGTCGGTCATCAAATTTAACTTCTTCAAAGTCGACATGTGTTGGTGTATGTATATCGTGCACTCTCTTTCTCCGAACCTTGCTATTATTTGAATTAGCTCTCCTCATAGAACCTTCCTTAGTGGCCAAAACTTTATGCTGTTGAGCACAATTGGAAGGTGTTAATGATGCTTCTGTTCGATTATATAGGATTGCCTCTGAAAGACCCAAATCTTCCAAGGAAAATTCACCATTCTTAGGGGATATATTTGTTGTTTTATGATGACTAGGTGTGCTGAGGGAGGAAGAGCTTCGTATGGTGCTTAATTTATCTTGTTGTTGCTGTTGATGATGAGAGAATATTCCCAACTCAAAGTCATTATCTGAATTTTCTGTTATTGTCGATGAAGATGAATCACCCGAAGATAAAACAGAAGTACTATAGGGCCTCTTATACATTTCGATGAATTCTGCTTAACTACCTTAATACACTTTGCGATTGAAAATAAAGAGAATCTTCTGTTTTAAATAATGACGCCACTGCTGCTAATAGTGAATGTCTTGTTTTCTCACTTTTTTTTCTTCGTTTAATACTTATTAAAGCTCTATCATTTACAGATATAGATTCGCATTATTAATTGTGCACAGAATCGTTCCATGTTTGGTGCTATGATAAACGACTATTGTACATCTGACGCAGCAAAAGCAATGTATGCTGTGGTAGAATATATTTTCCGTTTTATATTAAGGTTACAGAAACCCGATAATGATTGAAAGGAGGTTATTATAACTTTTGTTGATAGAAGCAAAATTTTGACAGAAAAATCAACAAATCGTTGATGCAAGTATGAAAATTCTTTATTTCCAAACATGAAACAGTGTTGAATGATTCTTGTCTTTATGCGTATTGTCAGCATCTAAATTGTCAACTTATTACAGACCTCAATAAAGGAAATGAGCTTTGACAAAAAACCTGAGAAATTGCTCAGTTACTTTTTTGAATGTAGGATTTTTAATTATTAAAATTCACAAAGCAATCGCTTGCAAGCTTTGTAGTTTTTTTATAGTAGTGATGTGGTTTTGTTGAAAAGATGAATACCGATGATAGCTCAGCTGGTAGAGCATGGGACTGTAGCAAGAAAAACTGTCATCCTGTGGTCGGCGGTTCGATTCCGTCTCATCGGATACTTTTACCACACAAAGCAATTAATCAATTTTAATTATGACACTTGTTCAATCGAATTTTTAAGACACTTCTGCTTATTGTACAGTTTTGAATTCTATAAGATCCACATAACTCAAATTTTCTAAGCGAATATAAATAATTTTGTTTTAAGAAAAATGTATTATCTTCAGTACAGTTTACGTTTTACTTTTAAAAAAAATGCTATGGGTAGAAATGGAGGTGGACATCCCACCAAAACAACAAGCAAAAAGAACACTCAAAGCCTTCGCTAAAATAATTCAGGTAAGGTGCCAAATAAGAAGACAATTTGACACAAGGCCAAAACAAATTGTTGGAGACAATATAGTGTCAGCAGCTAGATCAACGATCCTTGTTTATGTTGAGACAAACTCTAGAACAAAACTGGAAAATTTTTTGTTGGCTACTTACCACGCCTTCAAAAGATATTCCCTGTTGTTTATTGCTGATACTCAAAACCAACATATAAGACAATCTGTTATACAGGCTCCTAGAAACCCTCCCACTAGTGGTAACGAAGACAGCAGTGACGATACCACATCTATCAAGAGCATTTCACTACCTGTACAAACAAATAATTCGCCCAGTAACAGTACTGATACTAAATGGGCTTTATTAGAAGCCTATTTAATTGAGTTGAAAAGAGTTCCTTCTGGCTCGGAATCAGGCAATATTTCTTCAAGTTACAACTTAAATCCAACAGAAGAAATTATTCATGATACCCATAAAAACAAACCAAAAGTTACATCACCACCAAAACCAATCAAACATTCTCCAACCCTACAAAGAGCTGTGATACATTTCAAATGGA